AATTGAACTTTCAATAAAGAGAATCATTAATTTCGCTTAGGGTGCGCTGCCGAAGATCCTAACGAACTCCGCAAAAATCCAGGGATGTTTCTCTCGCACAATTATGTGTAAGTAATGCGGGGGTAGAACTTTTATAAGACTATTTGAAACACAGTGAAATGTATAGGATATTTTGTTTAGAGTATATAGTGCAAACATTGTAGGAGTAGACGATGCTTTTGACATAACCTTTTGTATTTCCCACCGCTGGGTCTGAATAAAAATGTCTTGATGTGTCTGAAATAACACACGTCAACTTTTTGTCTCTAATAATTTATTTGCTGAGTGCGAACTTCTGACTTCTAGAAGGTAAACAAGGTTCTCACACTGCAAAACTCTTACTATTGAATAACTTAAAGGAATAACTAAAATCAATAAATAAATTCTATAAGCAATTAAGGTTAAAGATAATAAATGAAAGCAAGTAGGTAAACAAAAGATTAACGCAATCAGGGCAGATAAACGTCCACAACAAAGTCGCGTCTCACCGGATATTGATCCGTTATTTTTCTCAGAAGCTATTAGAGTAATGCAGGCAATCCCCCGCCATCGCCCGAGCAGCGAGAATTAATGATGTCCCTTATTGGAAGCACAATTTTTTGATTCTACCCACCTCCCTCCGTATGTGCCAAAGAATATAACAAAACAGACTCGCTTAGTATACACGTAAAAGTACACAACTGAAAATAAAAATTGTGTTCGACGAGCTCGTTGGTATAATGCATTGTATGGTTAATAACTAACGGGTCACGGGTTCGATTCTCACTGGGTCCAACATATTTTTAATTAATTAAAATTCTTCTTAAGACGTGTTGGACTGCGTCTGGAAATCTGGTTTTTAAATGGTTAGTAGGCTCGAAACTCCGTCACATAATTTACCAAAGATTTTATGCTTCAAATAAATACAATTAAAATGATAGTCTAAAGGGTCAAATAAAATAAAATAATTATTTATCCTGTTAGATACTTGCAATACACTCGTGATATTTCTTTTTTTAACATTTCCTATATTATACGCGAGGAACGCGTAGACGTGCTACGGCGTAGCATGTTACAAATAGCAAATATGTTTTTATACTATGTAGCAAAAATTAACTTTTTTTCACGCTGTTATACATGTTAACAATATCGTTTACCTCTAAAATTATGAGATTTATGGGTTTTAACGCGGTTAAGTACGTTTTTAAAACAAATGCCTATGAAAATGAGATAATTATCAAAACTCAGAGAAATCAAATGATAAATATTGAAGAGCAAAGGTCAATTTTATAGATATGAAAAAAATATAAATCATGTCTGATTACCGTATTTTTAATAATCTTTGGCACCCCGCGGGCGATGGAAACCAACAAAAGCCTTGTTTACACGATCCAAGGTTTACATTTAAAAATACCCCAATCGCCCGAAGGCAATTCTAATTTCTATCGAGGAGATTACATCCACTTGACAGTTTTAAGCGGTTATCATTTAATATAAATTCAATGAAACGAGAACGTAAAAAACGACATTGCTTGAATTGTTATATTTCGATTGAGCTTTGAAGCTATATAGGATGAAAAAGTTTTCGTTTTTCATCGACGACGAAGATAGGAGTCAAAACAACATTGTAATAGTTAGTACGTCCTGGTAGTTGGATGTATGTTAGACTATTTAAAAGATGCGGACGGTATCTACACTTGTAGTTCAATTTATTTATTTCACAATTTCTAGAAATTCCGAATAGAATTGCTTCAATATATATTTTATTCTATTTTATATTATACTCAAAAAATATAAACGTTATAAACAATACAATAATAAGTTATAAACAAAAGATCATTTATCTTGAAAAATTTAATTTGTATCTTCATTACATGCGCATCAAAAATAATAAATAGATTATATTATAAAATAGGTGGAAATTCATTTATAAAGTGTTACGATTAGAACATATACTATGTGATAAAAATTTAGTAGTTGTTATTAACATTTAAATGAACTTCTGAACACATAAACACATTACATGACAGTCTTTCGTCAAAAACAAATCAATCCTGGTTAAAATTTACCGCTACGGCACTGATCTCTTCTAATAAACGAGAGAGAGTCCAAATACTACTACACCACTTCACCTTTGAACCCGGGACTTTGTAATCAACAGTCTTCTTAAATACTAGAAGAAGACACAGTCATCAAACTATGAATATACCTACATACCTCATAAATCTATTCCATGATCTAGAATCTTCCAAACAATGTTGTAATATACGGGAGCCGCCCTACATCTCAATTAGGGAGGGTGCCGACATTTCACTATCTTCAGAGTAATCGTGTTAATTACACGCGTCGGTAATCGAACTCCGATCCTTCGCCTTTTAAACTAGATTAGTTCGGGAAATCTTGCCGTGCTGTTTGTGAACGAAATCACAGGGGATGTATTTTGTTATTATGATACTTTGATGTGTGTATTTTCTAATCATAACTATATTATGATTAGGAAATATGTCTAAAAGTGGAAAGTTTATAACAATTATTTATTTATTGTATTTATTGGTCTGCCAGCGATTAATTACATTTCGAAATTGTATATATAAAATATTTTCAAAAAATTAATTAATTTATAATTTAGTACGTAAGTTTTTTATCTTCTGTAGTTTATGTTTAAATATTATAAATAATAAAACCATAATATAAATATATAAATATTTATAATACATTCAAGGAGTAGATGCCAATGCATTTAACAATTACTGGACAAATAAAACGAATTAACATAAGATTTTGTTTTTATTTTGTAAAAGTGTGGAGCTCACTTTTAAGAAACAAATTAATATTAATTTATTCTTTTTAATACAAGTACTGTTATAAGATTACTAGTAACTAATGGATGGACCGCCTCCGTAACTCATTGGTTCGTATTCTGGACAAAAAAGTAAGACTACTGTCTATAGTTTACGCGAGTAGTACACATTTAAATAAAACACTTTAACGGTTTAAAACGCGATATATTAGTTAAACTTATTTGGAAATGATTTTTAACTTCGGCCTGACGTTTCGGATGCTTTGCAGCAGCCGTGGTCACGGGGAGACCACGGCTGGATAATAATCGTTTGGATAATAATCAACGGGTCCCAGATTGGATCAAATATTTTTGTGATCAATTTATAATTTTTCTGAAACATGTTGCACTTCGTCAGGAAATCTTGATATTAAATGAAGTATGTAACGGTGGTGGGAATATCAAAAATCCGTGTGGGTCAGAAACATTCGGGTTGCCTGTTTAGCCGAGAAGTTGATCGATCCCGTTTCGGGTGGAGTCTGTAGATTTTCGAACATCCAAGGCAAAAATAGGATGACATCTTGTTTAGATGTTATATGGCTTGGGTATGTCGTACTGTCCTCCTTTAATATAAAAAAAAAAACAATTGTGCCGTCATGTACAAACAACGGAATTTTTCACATTCTACCTACATAACCGAATTAGGTATAACACAATTATAGAGAACGAATGAGTTTAATTGGTAATTTCGGCGTAAAAGTTAGAAGTGTACCAGGAATCGCATGTCCGTTTCAATCAATCTCGTTTGTCTGCATTTAGCGTCACTGCGTCCGACTGTTCAAAGTTGAACGTAAAACTTTGCACTACTATTCTGGAAAAAGAGATATCACGCCACGTTTTACTGAAAAAACTAATTTACACTTTTAAAGATATATAATGCATAAAATATATACTAATGAAAACCTTGTACCCGACGGTTTGAATTCTTTACAGCATATAGGGTCATGGAGGGACTAAATTTGGGTTTTGAACCGATAAAAATATTTTATTTTTCAAATAACTTTGTATTATAGAAATAGATTTTTAAGTGAAGTTGTAAGGTAAGTTTTACTTGTAATGTAAAAACTAACTAAATTGAACCTTTTAAAAATTATAACAGTAAGATCTAAAATTGGTTTTAGCTATTATGTAGTCTATAGACTTCTTTATTTATTTTTAATTTATTTAGATTCTACCGTTCATTGTTACGCTACACTTATTCCGGATCAAGGATACTAGCGGGTTAGTATCGCATTTTTTTTTCAATATAAATAATTTATTTAATCATGTTAATTAATTTGTTTAGTTATTGTCTTCTGCTGTATTTGCTTATAATTGTTTCTTACTACTTGCAGTCCGTTCTTAGTAATAACTGGATTCCAGTTGATAAAAAGGCCTCTAGAAAATTACTCTTACTATTCCAGAATAATCCCGCCGATGCACAAACGAATCGCGACGCGTAGTTGAGTGCTGATGACCAGTTTTCTGCCCGCGGTTTTCTAATCCGGGACCGAAATTTGTTCACATTTTCACTCGCGCTATATTGTATTTCCCGCGTTTCACGACTTCACCGCTCAGTTTACTCAACCGTTGAACTGGGGATTTGTCTGACCAATTAAGATTTTTATTTTGTTTTACGGTTTAAAATGACATTTATTTAAATATATCGCATTTTAAACCATCAAAGTGTTTTATTAAAATGTGTACTTCTCGCGTAGGTACACTACAGGCAGTATTTAGAAAGTATTATATGATCTATTTGTTAATACAGACAAATAGATAGATTAGACTGAGACTTATTTTATAGGTTAATGAAAATTTTAAAAGAATTAGACGTAATAGAAATGTTATTATAATATTGTTTCAATGAAGAACATTATAAAGGAAAATAATAAACGATACCAAACGCCTTTTTGTTAGTTACGTCATAATAAACTTTAATCTATGACACATCAAGTTTGTTTCTGTTGTCTATACAAAATGACAAATAACGCAAGGACTGTTAATAATTTGCATCGCATCATTGTTTAATCCAAATTTTAGTAGTTAAAAATACTATCAACATTTCAAACAGTTAAACCAATTTTAGCTTATTTTATAAATACATTTTCTTCCTAACAATTGTAATACAAGATCAGAAAAAGTGCGTGTTTACGTTAGAGACATGGAGTTGTATTCTGGGGACGCTAGATCGGTAAAGAGAAATGACTTGCTCAACTTCGAAATCAGTTCTGATGAAGATGAGAAAATTAAGGCAGAGTCAGGCACGCAAACAAAAACAATGGCTAAAGGTAATCAAGATGGCTATGATATTATAATAATAATAGATTGAGTAAAGGGCAATTAAAGTTATTTCCAATTATACAATAATTATTGCTGATATACAATTGTTATTTGAATAAAACGTCGGAACGTACGGAACGTCGGGCCGTAGTTAAAATAGTTTTAAGATAAGTTTAACTAATATATATCGCGTACTAAGCCGTTAAAGTGTTTTACTACAGACAGTATTTAGTAAAATTGTTATATTTTCTAATTGGCTACTTGAAATTCTTGCTCTGAATATAAACTTCTAAAATTCTAGGTTAGTTTTGTAAAAGATCTTTATGACTGCATCAAAAAAGCGTATATTTTACAAGGAAATTAGTACAAAGTTAACTAGAACGAATGTATACTGCGTACTACATAATTGACTTTACACTTTTAGGGAAATCTTCACCTAATAGTTCAATGAAGGCAACGATCAGCAGTGGCCTGAAACAAATAACACCATCACAGAAACCTAAGAGGAGAAAAAGTATGTTTACATATACACCTTCTAAAATATTAATTTCTAAAAAAATCGAAAACAAATTGAAAAAATTTCGATGGGCAGGACTTGAACCGGCATCGTCAGCGTTCCGTGCTGTTGCTCTACCAATAGCTACCGAATCTTCATTTTACATAAACTTCGGTCGAACCTTGGCGATCTTTATTATTGTTTTTTCAATATAATGATGTTTTATTGCTTTTTCGATAAAAACAATAACTATTTTACTCTGAAAACATTTATGTCTCAAGCGGGAATTGAATCCATGACCAACTAAAATATAATACTCTCACGAGAAATAAATTCAGAGTGCTATATTGTTTCATTCATTTATCAGGATATTTCGGGACGTTTTTTATTGTTTGGTTGTGAACTAAAAATTGTATTACAGTAAAACTAATGAATTGGAAAAGATATCACAAATTGAGCGTCATATACTCGTTCCTGGATGACCTTGAGAGAGATTACCCAGCTATATGTACTATATCTGTAATCGGAAAATCAGTTGAAGGCAGAGATATTAAGGTAAAGTCATATCGATAACTTTTATAGGCAGACATCAGTTACGACAGAAGCGGTCAAAATTATTAATTCAATTTGTATCGCTCGTCATACGACAAATAAGGCGATATAAACTCTTATGTGTTGGACACCTTTACAAATTTTCCAGTTATTATACATGATGGTATTACAATTTTTAAAAACCTTTTTGGATTGAAAATTCAATGGAATACGTGAAAGATATTAAAATTTTCCAACGTCAAGCTCTGTACTTACATCTTCTATGATTTTTAAAGCTGCAAGCATAAGACAACAAACTTCAATACGTAAGTTACGGTTGAAATTACATTGCGCCACAGGTGAAGGCCTCTCTTGATTTAAGAAATTCAACGATGACGTATAGGGCTCGGTAGCTAAATTGGTTAGAGCTACCGCATGGAACGTTGTGGATACCGTTTCGAGTCCCGCACGTGACGTATATTTTTTTCAATCTAAATCGATTTTTAGCTATAAGCGTAATAAAATTATATTAATTCAAGCGTGTTTATTAAAGACTTATTCTTGTAGATGTTAAAAATATCAAACAGTGACGCGAGCAACGCCGCAGTATGGCTCGATGCATCCATACACTCTCGGGAATGGATCAGCACGGCTGTTGTCACCTACGTGGCTGACTACATCGCTAAGAACTTCCATAAGCACTCCAAATCTATTACCAACAAGGATTGGTATGATTTAACTTCTTCCATATCTGGATTACAAATAATAGAGGCCTCTAGTACTTTTCTCGTTAATCACGCGAAATATACTCTCTTGATTTTTATCATTGTCTCTGACATTAGGAACTCCCTTCACCTTCCATCCCGTGTTTACGGTTACTGCATTGAAAACGTCTGTAGTTGAAATGAATTTAAACCGTTCAAAGTGTTTTATTTAAATGTGTGCTACACAAGCTCGCGTAAACTACAAACAATACTCAGCCGAAGACTGATCTACTTGCCTATAAACAAATTGATCAGCGAAACGGACATATAGCTGTGTCTGTTCTAAATCCCACGTTGGGAAATTAGATTTTGCTTTAAACACTTATATAATTTCTTTTAAATGATAATGATGAAATTTATGCTTTGTGGGTGTCACTTATGTATTTAGGTACATAGTACCAGTTCTAAATCCAGATGGCTACGAGTTCACACACACAAATGATCGTATGTGGAGAAAAAACAGAGCTCACCATGAAGGGGAGAGTGTGGGAGTCGACCTGAACAGGAATTTTAGGTAATCCACAACCCGTTGATTATTGGCCCTGTATTGCACCATGACCAGTTTATACCAGAAAACAGCAGTTTGGATGAGTTTTTATTAAAAAAGTTTATCTATGTTGTTTTTTTAGCTACGGTTGGGGTAATAATGGCGATCAAGGTTCATCTGGTGATCCAAGTAACGTGTTCTACAGGGGACCAGCTCCGTTTTCCGAACCGGAAACAGCAGCTGTGCGAGTAAGTATTGATTGAATTATTTCCCACAACCAAACGTTGAGAACACAGCTAATATCGAATAATGGAAAATTGAAAGATCGATAGCAAAGGCGATACTAGAAAAAAAATATTTGACATATTAATACAATTATTAGGCACTTCTGAAACATATGGTCTAGGACTCTAGAGTGTCTTTTATGTACTAGTGTAAGTAGAAAGACTGTGACAATACGTAAGTATGTGTACATACAAAATACATATAGTAGATATATCGCGATAATGACAGAGTGTAATTTGTTTAATTTAGATTATATGACCGCCTCTGTAGCCAAACGGTTTAACGTGTTGCCTAGCCCGAGAGCCCCTGGGTTCGAATCCCAGGGAAACAAAAAATTGTTTCGGTCGGGCAGGGCACAGAAGTATGATCAACTACTTACCTGTTAAAGAACGAAACGGACACAAAAATGTGTTCGCCCCATGCACTGCGAGTGGGAAACAGGATTTCACATAGATTGTATGTAGTAAGTACTGCTTACTATTTAAACTTTCGTAGAACACAAACAATATGAACAAACTCTATTTTTGTTGATTTAGCTGTAAGTTTTCCTTATAGACAAATAAATAAATAAAACCGTAAAATTATAAAATGGCAATGATGGTTTAACAGAACGCAATAGTAAGTCATAAAACTCGTATATCTCAGTAATAAAAGGTTTTAACTGCTTAATTTAATAGGATACAATTCTTGGATCAGCATCGCCGTTCAAAGTGTTCCTGTCATTCCATAGCTACTTCGAGCTGATAATTTTCCCGTGGGGATACAAGTGTGAGCCATGTCCAGACTACCTGCATCTCCTGGAGGCCGGCACGGTCATGGCAAGGGTAACACACGTGTAAGAGAATAGTAGATCTCGTTTTGGCGACGAGTATAGGACGAGTATAATTCTTGGAGCAATCGAGGAGCTAAGAGAGTATAGGATATTTTTAAGAAATCAAGTTTGAAAAATTTAATATTTTTCACATATTATTGCACACGAAGGCACTATATAATTTAAAAATCGAAGCGTTCCGTGCTTTAAATTATGTAGCTTTTTACTTCGTTCTCATTCATTTGTTTATATAACCTATCCAGCTAGCTCTGATATATAAATACCTTTTTTAACTACTGTCAAAGTTTTCTCGTTAAACATTTAATAAAAGACTAAAAAATGCGAAACAATATGTAAACCCAGCTAGTTTCTCAAAATACAAACAGATGGCGATGATTTTATATCTTGATCAGTATTTTTGTTTTTTGGCAGGCAATCTACGAGACCACCGGTATGATATACAAAGTCGGCAGCACAAAGGATCTCACCTACTTCGCATGCGGCACGAGCACAGACTGGAGTTATGCGATAGCCAAAATACCATACTCCTTTATGATAGAACTTCGAAGCAAGAAGCATAGATTCCGGCTTCCGAAAGACCAAATTAATGAGACATGCGTAGAAATATGGAACGCCGTTATGGGTCTAATGGATTTTATTGACAGTACAAAGTTTAAATTTAAAACGAAAAAATAGTTATACTATGTTTCAAAGTATCGTATCATGTTTTTTTAGGAAATATTTCGTGTATCGTCTTATTAAAGATGCTTATTTTGTAGTTGGAACTCTAATACGTTTTATTCGTGATACAGACATAGGTTATAACCCACTATGCACGGGTTTTCTTTGCTTGGCTTTTTTATTTTCCGCCTTACTGAAAATCATGTTTTCTGTTAGGCACTCTGCCTCCATCATCCTCACATATGTAATTATATACAGTGAAAAGTGGATTGGAATGTAAATACTATTATTTTAAACTTTTCTTGACATTTTACCCTAAAAACATAATTTAAACACTCAAAATTAAAATTCAGATTAAAAAAACAAAACTGAATTTAGTAATAAAATTCATTGTATATTAAAATACATAATCTATAAATTATTTATTTTTCGAAAATATTGTACAATTTAAACACTTCTTCTGGTCGACAAAGTTGGCTAGTGCTTTTACTCCGTTGAGTACTTCGAGGCAGCAGTCTTCTATTTCTTCTCTTGGCAGTAGAAATTTGTGCTCCTTGCTACGCAGTTCTACGAGATAGGAGAAAGGTATATGCGCAGTGCCATAGCTCCAATCCATACTGGTCCCAGCAGCGAGATACATTAGGTCTTTGAAGTTCCCCACTTTATACATCCGACCATTAGTTTCGAAGATCGCCTGAAAAATACCTTCTGTTACTCTTAAATATATAATTTAAATGTCTGTACACAACCCCTGAAATAAATATTCCCAACTAGTAACTTCTTAGAAAAATTATATGTTCATGTTAATAAAGATTAAAAAAGACAGAGGTAGACGAGACTTGAACCCAGGACGGACGGTCAATACAATTCGCAATCGACCTATATTTTCGCTTTGGATATTCGGAAATCGAAATTGAAAACGAAACGCGATTTAACCCACGAACTGTAGAATATTAGCAATACGTCGCTACCATTTGTTGAAAGACTTGTTTTGTCGCTGCCTGTATATTGGACACGACGATAGCATAGACACGACTCTTTGAATTTAATTTTAATCCATAATATCGTATTGACAAAGAATAGCCAATTTAAAATTTTCAAGAATGGCCTTAGAGTCCCCCTTAAAACCAGTGTAGCGTCTTGTACACTACTTTGCTGATGACGGGGCCCTATTTGCCATTTAGACCTCCTGCTTTTTAAGCTATAATAGAAAATATAATAATATCTAACCTTAGCCATAGCAGTACCACCTTCTAATAACCTGACATAATCAGCACAAGGTTCTGAAGTGAAACACCACGGGAACGAAATTACTTCGCTGTACGCGTGGAACGTGATGAATATCTTGAACGGGGTTGTAGAATAAAGTATTAGATCCTGAAATAAAGAAATAACGAAGTTTCTGTAAACTTTTGTAGAGTAATTTTAACTATTAAGACAAGATACATTATTATCATCTGCCTTATAATAGTGCCCACTGCTGGGACACAGGTTTTGTTATTAAATAAATCTTAATTTACTAATCTAAGCTTATCACGTGTTATGTATCGGTTCAAAATACGTTGGTTTCATCACGATGATAGCTATCAATTGCATATTTATTGTTAAAATGTGATCGCTATCTCCAAGGTTAACTTATTCACACGGAAATGGGCAGGGTACAGAAGTTTGAAAATCTACTTGCGTAATCTGCTTAGATTTTAGCAGTTTATATATTTTTTGTAATAATAAGAAAACGTTGGACTTATATAATATTACCTTAACAGCAGCTGCTTCCGGCTCAGAAAACGGCTCGATTCCACGGAAATTTTGATGATAAGGATCACCCGAGGAGCATTCAGCTCCGGAGCGGCCCCAGTTATACCTGGTCACAGATCGAATTCATTTAATTATCCTTACAATAACTTATTTTAAAATAAAGCAAATAAATACACATTATTTTCGAAATAACATTGTTCTATTATATCCTCTGATCATAGTTAATTTATTAATTATGGGTGAATAACTGTTTATACAGGTAGCATTTTCGTCTTTGCCTGCTTACTAAACAACTTGCCTCAAAAAGCATGTCTTTACAAAGAAAGTTAGATTTCGTTAAAAGTACTAGCTGTGCCAGCGACTTCGTCCGCGAGAATCGTTATTTTAGGCACCCAAATTTGTTTTTACCCACGACGTCAGTCATGTCTCTTCCCGTCGTTCTTTCATGGTAATGTTAAAAGATAGACATATAACGTCGCGGACGTTTTTTAGATCGTTTTAAGATAAACAATTCTTTCAACATATTTTTGGATGCTTTGAACCGTTTTTGCATTGTACGCTACAGAATTCATAATGATGAATAATTTTCCCAATTTTTGTACACTACTATGGAATTTATAAAATTATTACCTGCCTACTGCTGATACCAACTAAAAAGTTCTATCAATGTTTAAGTACTGACACCATATATTCATTTTTTTTACCCGAAATTCCTATTCAAGTCCACGCCAACAATGGTGTTATCAACACGAGCCCTATTCTTTCTCCACATTCGGTCCTGCATGTGAGAGTGATAATAACCATCCGGATTTACGACGGGAACAATAAACCTGAAAAAAAAAATGGCCATAAGAATAAGATTTACCTGTGGTATAAAATTGAACCTGCTGCATCGGAAACTTCGGGCCATACTTGACATAACTTGGAAATTACAAATATACATTGTTAACCACATATTTTGCGTTTTAAAGCGTCAAAAATGTTTTAATTGAAATGTGTAATTTAATTTTCATTTATTCCTGTTTAATTGTCATTTAATAATGTGTCACTTCTCGGGAATAAATCTTCTCCCACTTAAAGTCACCCCAGACATCGCGTTCCAACTATGCCATGAAGTAAAGGTAAGGAAACACTTATGTTTTAAGTATATTAGGTAATATAGTAGTTATGTAGTTATGTATATATATGTGGTAACTTACCAATCTTTATTAGTAATATTCTTAGGTAAATTATTAAAATTCCTCGCGATATGATCAGCGATATAGGTAACGACAGAGGTACTGATCCACTCCCGCGCATGTATCGTGCCATCTAGCCATACGCCTGTATTGCTAGCGTCACTGTTGGAAATTTTCAACATCTATAAACAATTTACAATCCTATAAGACGAGAAAGAAAATTTCTCGTCTTATAGGGTTATTTTAAAAACGCTAGATGTACATTAGATATCTTGGATAAATTAAAAAAAAAAGCTAAACAGCTATAAAAACGTAATCTATTATCGTTATCTATAATGTTATTGAAGAATAATCTGGTGTACTATAAAACATTTTTTTGTTACTTCAAATACCAGTGACCCGGTATCAGAGCAAGTTGTATAAATAGTGTAATTTACAGCGCGTTTTTAAAATAACCCTATTCAAGTGCTATGTAATACTAACTTTAATATCTCTCCCTTCGACCGAGCGGCCGATGCTACTAACAGTACAAGTAGATGGATATTGGACTTCCAAATTTTCCATGAAATTATAGACAACGTTCAGCGGGTAGTAATCTTTCCAATCCAAAACGCGCTCTGAAAAGTTATTTGCAATTAATAAAAATTTACTTTTACTACCAAATATTTCTCAATACAGGCTTAAACTGTCACCTGACAATGCCAATATAACCAATATAACTATGTTTTTATGGTTCATCAATCTTCCCATTCCTAAATTAGTTAAGCCGTTTGGGAATTAAGGAATATCCAATTAAATAAAATACTTTAACGGCTTAAAACTTAATAAAAATGTTAGTTAAACTTATTTGAAATTTATTTTTAAATGGCCCGACGTTTAAATCAAATATGTTTAACTAATATATCGCGTTTTAAATTATTAAAGTGTTTTATTTAAATGTGTACTACGCGCGTAAACTAAAAACAGAATATCCAATTGCCATACTAGCATCTAGACAAACTTATGATATTCACTCATTTATATACTCACTTTGAAACATATTGAGAGGCGACCTCGACTGTCTTACTGAGGTATACATAGGACTTTTCTGTCTAACCACGGTGTCGGTGGAAGTCACTTCAAACAGGATATTCCTGTCTCTTAATAGTTTTTCAACTTGCATTACTCTATTTCCTTCTACCATTATATCTACGGCACTTTTTCGCTCTTTGCAAATGAAAATCGCTGTAAAATAAAAAGATTACTCATTGGAATATGTTTTATACTAAAAAACTGTGTAATATTATATTCACATAAAGTAGAAATTACACAGGACTCAAACCTGAACTTGCTATAATCACGTTCAATATTCAGTTATTTTCGTGCCTAACACCATATAATAGCAGTACTTTGCATTTCAGTCAAAACCTTTTTTGTAAACGACCAAGAAAATGGTAACTAGTTTTAGAGATATTGTTTGTGTACTTACAGCCTTTTGAATCTAGGCTCTTCAAGAATGTCCTTTGCCCTTCTTTTACACATTTTACATCCCATGTTTGATACCTTCCACTTTTAAGTGCCACTTTGGCTGAATTTTACTAAAATTTTGAAGTAGAAAAACGAACGGAGCCACATCGAAATTTTGACATTCCTCGAATCGGGTTTGACAGGTAGATAAACAATTTTTCCCAATAGTAACTTTTTTATTTTGCTCTTTAATTATTCTCTTGTCTATAACCTTTATAACTAACACTAATAGCTACCTGTTACTTTGCTACTTCCTATTTCAAACATCGGGATACCAAGATATAAAACTTATTACAATAACTAAAGCTTAATAAAATATTTTTCCCCTAAAGTATATTATACTTCCTTATTATAAATAATAAACAACAAAAAAGGTAATAATACCATTACACATTATTTTGGAACCTGACCTAATCGAACCAAGAGAAACATTCACAAGACAACATATACCAAAAGCAATTACGCTTACCTTAAAGCTCGCAAATAAATACTGCCCCGTAGTTAAAACGTAAACAAACGATAGGCTTGATCCTCAGCAGCAAAGAGCAAGGCGCTAAGCGTAGCTCGTTCGATAATTAGATGTAATCAGATATTTTCAGTAAACGCCTCTCTGGCAACGTCGGTTCGCGATGCACTCCCCTTTAATGAAATAATTTACCATTTGAACTCGAACTTTCCATTCTCGCATTGGTTTAATCCGAGTTATTAAGATAATGAATTTTTGCAGTTAATGGTCATTTTATTTTCACAATGAACGTAAAAGATATTCAGATAATATGTACTAAAATACATCGATTATCAGCTCAAATGTTATATAATTGGCGTAAAAAAAAAGGGGGGGGGGGCCTCCCCCTTTTTTTATTTTTTTTTTTAAAAAAAAAAAATTTTTATTTTAGGGGTTTTTTATTGTTTTTGTGGGGCTGAGCACAGAAGTACAGATCAGTGATCAAAATCAAAGTGACGCAATAGTAACATAAAAATGTAATCAACAATCATTGTAATATTAGCACCTTGTAGTTCTTTAGATTCTTAGTTGGTAATAATAGTTAGTGGTAACGAAGAAACTGCGCCTTTTATCTATTTAAGTACTATTGTAGTTAAAACTTTATTTTCGTATCGAGAAGTGAGTTAGAACAAATAGTAGAGCGAATGGCACGCCGCTAACCAGACGGCGACCCCAAACATCACCCGCCACCCAAATGTCGCCTCGACTCCGTCTTACAGGCGTTTATCTTTTTAATTGCGACTCCCTCGCGGCGCTTGTTACCCGCTTGTTGGATTTATCAGTAGCTCTTGGATATTTTTCACTTAAATAAAAGCAATTCGATTATGCGATGTCAAATCGAGACTAGTCGCGCTTTTTAAATAATATTTAAAACTGTCCTGAATTAGATCTTAACTTTCTTGATTATTTTAAATGATTATAAAAGTTAACCAATCGAGATAATAATAAAAATATCGAAGATAATAACAACCTTTATATATCATACAAGCCTTTGAATACACTAGCACTATGTTTTTTTTCAGCTATATACCTAGGCGTTCAAATCCATAGTGTAACATTCTGATTTTAAAGTTGACTACAAAAATATTATTAGCCCCTAATTACATTTATTTTTTTTAATAAATAGCCGTCTAAAATCTCAATTGCTGTAATTATTGCTATATTATATTATTATTATTATTAGTTGCCATAATGACTTCAATTATCCTTATAAAATACCCGTAACGAACAACACATAACCACTATATACTATGCAAATTAATGAAGTACACAAAAGTCTAATTTACGTTCCTAGTAACCTAGGTACAACCATCGAGGTTTTGGTATGCTTGATTAAAGTACTAGTGTGCAAATGAGCCCTATTCGCCGGTGTTAAGGTCGAAATTGGAGCGACCTAGAAAAATAAATTGCTGGGATCGGCAATTAGTCGCTAAATGTAGGTATACCAATGTGGGAGACAGGGAGGCTCCCTGCTTTGTTTTTCATTAGAAGCTGCTTACGGCCCTCAGCGTCACCCGTCGTGATGGCTTAGTATTTAATACGAAAAACTATTCAACTTGCTTGTCTATTATGCGTAGATATTTATTAATAAAGTTTTCGTTTCATCTCATTGTTCACAACTTGCAAATAAACACAATGAGACTTTGAAGTCAGTATACATTATTCAAAATAAAATAAAAAATCGCGACTTTTATGATATTATTTATTGTTTAGTTAAATTTAAAACAAAAGAACTCGACTTCCGTTAGTCCTAATAATAATGCAGCAAAATGATTTGTCGTTTATAGAAAATGAGATGAGATCACTTACACGTTGTAGTTTCAATAACCAAAGACAAACTAAAACCAAACCTTATCATTTTATAATACGAATATAAAAAACAACGTCTGAACATTGACAACTCATTCAAAATAAAACTTTTGACAACAACAATGAAAGAGCAAAATAAACACAAAATGCCATAAAAAATTAAACGCCCAGTATGGATCTAACAATCGGTCGAATAAACCCTCATTCATAATTACAGAGAAGTAGCAAAATGGGTTCAAAAACAGATTCACTTTTGACTGACCCACTTCCAGATCATGCATAGATAAAAACATCTCTCCATATTGTTTCAAGACCTTTTTAAACCAACCATGTATACCCACCCTGATCTCTATTACCACGAAACACCGACAAAACCAAAATTCTCAAAACGTCAATTCAGGAAGTACTTCATCCTAAATGACTCTAAATCTGATCTTAATAGTGATGATGATGATGATCTATGTGATAATCAGAACTTCGTACATGTACCGGAACAGAAGGAACCAATACGCTATATAAAAGATGATGTTCATGGCAAATCAAACAATGCAATTTTTGATCGAGTTATAGAACCCAATTACATAAAAGGTTTGTAAACTTTAATTATATACATAAATAAAGATGTGATATTACAAAGATGATATAGACACCTTAGTAGTTGTATATGGGTCAATTGAAGCTTTTAAAAAAAAAAACAGTAGGTAACTTAAAAATGAAACAATAATTCATGAGGTCTCTAAAGATAAAAGGGAACCTTTAATAATGTAGTGCCACAATGGTGCTTCAATAATTTTAAAAGAGGCGTGCACATGAGAAATATTAAACGTGTGTTGTTGAACAACACATTTTCACAATATGATGAAAAACTTAATAAACAGTAATATATCAACTAATTATAATAGCAAACCGGAAGGTTTGAAGGGGACAAGGGGAGAGTTGGATGACCCAAAACCTCTGCAAGGAGGAAATGTATAAATGGGTGAAATGGTTGGCTGATAACGGGGACTAATCACCCATCCTACCACAAGTGTCCCCGATAAAAAATAATAATAACTATATAAATCCTTGGTATATATCTATTAATGTTTTTAGTCAGTCTTTCTCTAGCCGAAATATAAAATAAGTGTGTTTCATATTTTTAGAGACCAAAGAAAAACCAATACAACGCCTAGATTGGGACAATTATCACAGGCTAAATGTGATACATAAATTCATGGATGACTTGGAGTTTGAATACCCTTCGATATGTACTGTTGGATACATTGGGTCATCTTTAGAAGGCAGAGATTTGAAGGTATTTTTTATGTTCCTTAGAGCAGCAGTACGGAAAGTTGTGGCTGCTGTTTAAAGTGCCCGTATTGTCATTTTTTTTTTCAATTTAAATAAATGCTTTATTTATATAAAAATAAACAAGTATTATTTTTTAGATTCTTAAGGTATCCAACAGTAACGCAACTAATTCAGCTGTCTGGATAGATGCTGGTATTCATGCAAGGGAGTGGATAGCGCCCGCTGTCAATACATACATTGCTAATCATATCGCTAGAAATTTTAGCACTCTTCCAGCAAGTGTTACAAATAAGGACTGGTAATTTTCCAACATATTACATTTATGATGATATATTTTAGTTATTGTTTCAAAATATTTGAGAAAACTTGATTTAAAATTTAAAAACTATTAATAAAAACATTTGGATTCTAAAGTATTTTCGTAATTTAGAATCCAAATGTTACTCGTCTAACCACAGTTTACACGAGTAGTACATATTAAAATATTAACACATTTAACGGTTTAAAACGCGAAATGTATTTATTAACTTATTTAACTACGGCTCCGCGTAGACGTTGGTGGTCACGGGGTGACCTGAGCAGCTGCATTTAAAAGTATTTTATTTAAATTTGATTTAAAGCACGGAAGCGTACAGGAGGTAGGTAGATAATACAATAAGTATTTTTCGTGTACTTGTTCTGCATTAATAGTCAAGTTTAAGTTAAAACCAAGACAACCGGTTCTCTTTTGTTAACATCTTAATTATTCGCGATGTTTTTATTGTTATAGGTACTTCCTACCAGTAGTTAATCCCGATGGTTATGAGTTCACCCATACTGTCGATCGGATGTGGAGGAAAAACAGAGCTTGGCACGGAGGGCAATGTCTGGGGGTAGATCTAAACAGGAATTTTAGGTAAGCAGTATTACAAAAAATCGTCCATACTATATTAAATGCTTTAACGTTATAATTCCATTTAACTACATTAAAAGTACATTTAAAGCAATTATCGTGGTAGGTTTTTAATAATAAAAATAATCTTTAAACTATTCTTCGTCTTGCAAAAATCTTTAAATATTTTTCTAGCTATGGCTGGGGGGGTAAAGGTTCTTCAGAGAATCCAACTCATGCCTTTTATCGGGGACCTGAGCCCTTTTCCGAGCCAGAATCATGTGCTATGAGAGTAAGTTTTATTTCACTAAACACGTCTTTATTTTTTTTTCACATAATATTTGCTGATCAATTTTATTTATAGACAAGTATTTGATCTCGACTTCTGTGGCCTGCCTGAGCGAAACAATTAATTGTTTCCATTGGATTAAAACTTAGAAGTTAGAACCTCTTGTGCTTAACGCAATGGTTAGCAACACGTTTGACAACTGAGCTTTGGCGATTGAGTTCTCATTATGCTAGTTTAAATAAAACATTTTAACGGTTTAAAACGCGATATATTAGTTAAAAATCATTTTCAAATAAGTTTAACTAATATATCGCGTTTTAAACCGTTAAAGTGATTTATTTAAATGTGTACTACTCGCGTAAACTATAGACAGTATTATGCTACTTGTTAGTTAAGCCATGGAAACCAACGCATTGTTTAAGATACATTAAAAAAAATATTACATAAATTGTTTATTCGCTACAGCGAAACGTTAGCTATATGTTACTTATGAAAACTTTATTATTTAGCCCATGTTACTGCTCTAACCATTTGAGCTACCGTGTCTCAAGCAGCTCAATTAGGTAGAGCAACAGCACAGAACACTATAGATGCCGGTTCAAAAATTAGGACAGGAGCCGTAACCTTCCTAATGTGTCATTTTATTGAAAAAAATAATTAAATTACTTGTAAAGCAAAGGATTGGTCTGTGTTCGGTGAATAAGTATGATATGTCCTGGTCCATGGAGACTTCCGAATTCTCGTGAACCATCAAATCGTTGTAGCTAGTCCATAGTCATGGCAACAACGTAATAAACCTACCAGTAAATGTAAATCCAGCGTCATTTGGCTGTAATGTGATGTTGATACCAAAATCGTGTCATCGCTACTGGACGCTGAGATTAAATCGCAAACAGGATTTAGCCGTAAATCAATTTCACTGCATTGGTTTTATATCACTCTGTTGCATTTAATTAATGTACTTGGTAGGCGCGTAATGTGCGCGTTTATTTAAAAGTTTATCCCGGCCGTGCAGCCTGCGATGGGGAAATTAATCTAACATAGATTATAGCTTAGCGGAAATACGCGTAAGCGCAAACATGCATAGTATAGCACTGTAATATAATTATGCCCTATCTGTTAAAAATATACGTGAATACTTGTATGACTTAGCTAAGAGCGTGCTTAAATCTATTTTGTTCTAACGGGATACGAGTTTTATAGAACCTTTTACAAAACTCTAAAACAATTTATAACTAAAGAAGAATGGTGGTCAACATAAAATGTAACATACAGTTTTGGGGCCACCAGTCTGTCCGTGCGTGCTTTTACACATACAGCAGCGGTAGGCAGACTTAGGACACCAGCAGGGCCTAATCATCGCCATTGCCGAATTTTTCAGTCCTACCTAATGTCTAATGTCTAAATAAAATAATTTAACGTTTCAAATCGCAATATATATTAAATTTATTTTAACTACGGCCCGACGTAAGCATCCGAAAGCTCTGCAGCAGCTATGGTCACCGGGAGACCACGTTAATGTTGTAATGTTTTTAAATAATTTTTTTTAGTTTATATAATGTCACGTGCAGTAACTTGTAAAACTTTTAAATTTTCAGGACTTCTTATCCAAAAGCGGTATATCGTTCAAAATCTACATAACGTTACATAGCTACGGACAGATTATTTTATTTCCTTTCGCGTACAGAGACGAACTCTGTCCGGACTACGTGAGATTGCTTGAAGGAGCGTCCATTATGTCAAAGGTAATCTCTGGAGTTGCTGCGTCTGATAGAAATTGACATATAAACTATTGTTTGTTGATAAGCTATTATATTATATTTCATTTCAATCAATTTAATAGTCAAAATACGAGTAAGTAAACGAATATTTACTTATGTGCATGGCTTACAAATGTGATTAAGTAAATTCTTTCAAATCACTAAGTCAAACTTTATTGAACAGTTTTGAACATTTTACACTTATTATTTTTAGTGTTATCCATGTTATATCCATTTACAAGTTTCGGCTTTTTAGCGATGAGGCTTCGCTACATATTTATTTGTAATTTCATCTATTTGAATCTTTTTTTGTTATATTTTTGTAGTGACAATAGAGTATGTTTTGGTTGTTTTTTTTTTTGGTAAAAATGTAAACAGATAGACAACAATTCGTCCAGACAAATGATAGTAGGTTTATTCAACAACCAATTCCTTTATTAATATGCTGTAATACTGAATTATCTTTTGTACAGTTTAGGTAAAAACCATAATTTATTTAATGGACTAAATTTGTTTGTTGTAAGTTGTCTATGTCCATTATTTTAATTTTACATTTAACATTACCCAAGTACCTTTTGTTTTCAACAATAATGATTATTGTACTAATATTATTATCTAAATAATAATTAGCTAATGAAAGTAATCTCATAATTACAATATTCTATTAAGTGAAACAATTCCTTTGTGCCAGGCCATATATGAGTGTAGTGGCAACACCTACAAAGTCGGGATATCAAGGGATGTAATGTATGGAGCTGCGGGCACAAGCAATGACTGGTGTTACGGAGCAGCTGGTATACCCTACTGCTACCTTATAGAACTGCGAAGTAAGAAACACAAGTTCAAACTGCCCGAGGAGGAGATACAAGAGACTGGGAAAGAAATTCTGAGCTGCGTTAAGGCTCTGATGGAATTTATTGATGAGAAAGATGGGGTTGAAGCACAAAGGTACAATCTTAGTCTTAGTTAAATTTATCGAACTTTATTATTTATTGAAACTCGAGTTTAGACATTTTAAAGAAGACTAAATTTATCCTTTACATTTATCACAACATGATATATACTTAATTTTTGACTGAAATCAAATAAGTAATATCTGTACGCAAGTAATACACGCTCAAATAAACCTCCTCTTAATGGTTTTAAACGTGAAATATATTAGTTAACTCATTATTAATATAATTTTAACTATGACCCGACATTTGCTGTGACCTATGGTACTACAAAGCATCCGAAACGTCGAAGCGTAGTAAAAATAATTATAGTTCGCGTTTGAAACTGTTAAAAGTGTTTTAATTAAATTAAAAATAGTTTTTCACTGTTTACGGAGACAGTATTTTTGGGCTACCAAATCATTCGAGTAATGTCTCTATTTTTACACTTAATTTAATAGACCATTCACGAGCGTAGGTTGGGCACCTCAGTTCGCTTAATAGCAAAAACACTAGAACAATTAATATTGAAGAAACATAATTTACTAATTTACACACAATTATTACAATCGAAGTATGTTAAAAAAGTTTGTATTACGTTTTCTTAGTCTATATTTGTTATAAGCTTCAAAAAACATAAGCTGTCAAAAACGTTAGTACCGTTCTGTCAAACTCCAAAATTACAAGTATTTAAAACCGATTATTAATGTTGTGAGGAAACAGTCTCGATAAAAATCACAGTGGCACCGCTTAACGCCAGAACCCAAGTATGGGAAATAAGATTTACTAATGAGGGTCAACGACTTTTCATTAAAACCCTAGACACCGCAGGAGGTATTGTTTTCGCTCTGTGTGTTGTTTTATTATATCTAAGCTAGAATTAAACCATTGCTAAGACTTAAGCTGGCTTAATTAGTTAAATTAAGCCAGCTTAAGTAATGTAGCTTTATCCCCAAGCTACATACCTATAGGTACAATTAGTACATTTTGATGGGGTTTTTGGTGTAATGGTAGTAATGTATATATAATAATCAATAGGTTCTATCGCCACCGGGTCTAACATTATTTCTGATCTTTATACATTTTTTAATAAACTCGTTTGTGAATTGGACTTCGTCTGGATATATTATGGGTGGTAGGAATATCGTAATATTGTACAGATGAAAAGAGCCGTCAAGAATAATCGCGTTTCGATTTCTTTCTGTGGATTTCCGAATATCTAAAGCCGTATTTCGGCTTTAGATATGTTGATGCGTATCTTGTTTAAATGTTATATGGCCTGGGTATTTTGCCTACCATCAAGTAAAACCCCTGCTTGTCTGTACTCCTCGCACATAAAAAAATAAAATCATCGCTAACCAAATTGAGCTACGAAATAATAACAAATGCACGTAAACTACAGACAATACTGAAGTAGACAAGAAATAAGGTTATAATATTAATATATATGTTAGCAAAAATATATAAAATCAATAATGCAAATGTGTGTGTACCTACATTATAAATTATAACTGATATTTGAACAGTATGTTTAAAACTCTGTTACTATTGGGAGGTAGATTACTATTTTACCAAATTGAGAGATTTCAGCGATTAATATTTGGAAAGAGGAGCACAGCACTATGGATGTGATGGTGGAAGGCCCGCGCGCTACTCAGGTGGCCAGCATGCTGCATGAACGGGAAATACCCTACGCTATAGCTGTTGGTGACGTCAACGTTCTCCTGGAGAGGGAACAGGGCACGGTACTGAATAAGCTGAGGAGGAATTCTAGCGCAAGTATGACTTAATCTCCTTATTATTATACTAGCTGTGCCTGCGACTTCGTCCGCGTTGAATAGTTATTTTGGGCATCAAAATTATATAATCATTGTTCTTGCGTGTTAATCTTAAAATAGAGATATCCCGTCGCGGATTTTTTTTTCGTTTATCCAAAAGAAAAGTCATTCTTTTTTTTATACATGTTTTTGGGTATCCTATTAGTCGCGGCGCGATGTCGTATAGCCTGAAGCCTTCCTCGAAAAATAATCAATTCGAACCAATCGTTCCTGAGATTAGCGTGTTCAAAATAAACGAACTCTTCAGCTTTATAATATAATTATAGATATCTTCTATGACAGGGGAGTTTGGTTATATTATTTTTGCTTTGTTTAAAATATCATGAAATCTAATCAGCAGCTCATAGTTTCTCACTTCCTTAATGAAAATTAAAATTAAAACAGATACAATAAATATATTCTGTGTGTAAATGGAATTTGTCATGATCATGGCTTGAAATTGCGAAGCATTTTGTAAGATCTAAAGCCCAAATACACAATATTATACTCATGCGCTTAAGAGATCGATAAAGAAAGTATGACTATTACATAACGCTTAACCCAAAAACCTTAATGTTACATAATGATCTACTAATATGATTTCAAATAATTAATTTAACTGCTTGTCAGACACAGTATTGGTTGAAACATATTATTTAGTTTGCGTGTGTATCTTAAGCAAACAACACTGTGTTAGAAGTAGCATTTTTCGTTTGTTTGTTTTTTTATTGTTTGTTTTTCTAATGACAGATCGTACAATGGATTGGCATACATACCATCGTTTGGATTCAATTTACGCTTTCATAGACAACTTGGGAAGAGAGTACCCGTACCTATGTACAGTTATGGTGATCGGCAAGTCTGTTGAAGGAAGAGATTTAAAGGTAGTTGCATAATTGTTTACTAGTTACACATTCTATAATATGCTATTTTTAACATAAGTTTGAGCAACGTGTTTCTATTTTTAGAACTGTATGAATTATCGAACGGCTGTTGCCAGCATTTAACACGCTTTTGAAACTTTAATGAAAAAATAAAACCACTTTAACGGTTTAAAACCCGTTATATTTTAGTTAAGTTACGGGGATACCACGGCTGCTGCAAAGCATCCGAAATAAAACAATTCAAACAAGTTTAACTAAAATATATCGCATTTTAAACCGTTAGTGTTTTATTTAAATGTTGAAACTTTGATTAATATTTCCGTATAATTAAATTAATGGCTAGATAAAATTTACAATTACAAAAGAAACAATTTTATTAATATACCTATAGTAGATATTTTACAACAATCTAAACATCTTCTTTGTAATTTTTGTAAACTTTTGGAATCTTTTTTCATCATTGAAATGAACTGGTATTTTTAGCATAATACGGTTGGGACTAAGATTTTCGCTAAGATTTATTTAATGTGTAATATTTTGAACTGACCTCAGATTGATTCTACAAAAAGTGTGTTTTTAAATAATTTTAGTTACTGAAAATATCCAATGGCAATTCGACGAATACCAGTGTATGGATGGACGGTTCTATACATCCTCGGGAGTGGATAAGTACAGCAGTTGTTACGTATATAGCAAACCATCTAGTCAGGAACTTCACTAATCTGTCTGACAGTGTCACAAATAAGGACTGGTAAGTAACTTTTATAAAAAACCAAGGGGTAACTTTTAATCTTTTAATTTCTTTTCTACTTCGTTCTTCAGGTTGCCTGGAAGAGATCGCTACTTAGCGATAAGGCCGCCTTTTATGTATAAATTTGTTACGTAATTAGTACGTAAGATTTTTCCTCAATAATATGTATTTTCTGTTGGGTGTATTATAAATAATAAAGCCTATATTAAATAAATTAATGCCGTCATGTTAAATAATTTGTTATTAAAAATCTTTCTCTCTGTGGTGTATGAGGCGAAAATATTTCCTTTTTTTCTGGGATTTAAACATACGATCTCTAGTGCTTAGGCCCAATACTAGGCAACGCGATCGGTCATTAACTATCAAAGCAGCCGTTTTATTATTAGCTCTATGTTTAAAAGACATTTTTAATCTTTTTTTTAGGTATATCCTGCCAGTATTAAATCCAGATGGCTACGAGTATACGCACACTTACGATCGAATGTGGAGGAAGAATAGAGCACCATATGGTGAATGTGTTGGTGTGGATCTAAACCGGAACTTTAGGTTTGTGCATAATGTTTTATTATATTTATATTTTACCATGGAGACAAGCACAAGGTCATTGAACTTTCATCGTTAGTTTTTGTTCAAAGAATTTTAATTTCAATAATGTATTTCTGAAATAACACTCACTAGATGGCAGCACAAAGATGGTAAATTCAGCAGCCTGTCAAAAGTGTTATATCACCTTCATCACAGTTCATGTTATTTTAACTACGGCCAGACGTTTTGGATGCCTAGCAGCAGCCGTGGCCACGGGGAGACTATTATGGCACCTATAATATTTTCGTGCCTAACTATTATTTGTCTTATGTCGCTTTGGAGGGTGAGGGATATTATAATTAGTGACGTAAATTTTCTCTAAGATTAATTGACAAGTACTCAAAAGTTTTAACATTTGAAAAATACATCCGATATTTGCCGTCTATTCTGTATTTACGAGCGTTTCGTGGTTAGAAGAGCGATAGTAAATAGTATTAGTTTTACAAAGACATACAGATAAAATACATTGTCCATAAATATGTAAAACTAACACATAATACATATTTAAATGTTCGTTTTTCTTTCAGCTATGGATGGGGAGAAAAAGGCGAAGAAGGTTCTTCAGATGACCCGGGGAATATTTTTTTCCGGGGATCGAAGGCATTTTCGGAGCCAGAGACGAGTGCTGTTAAGGTATTAACTAAGTCTTTATTTGCTAAAAACCGTTTACTAATTTTATAGATTCTGTAAAATATAGATTGTAAAATGTCTTACTGTCTGTATGGTTTTCCTTACTGAAAAATAGATGCGGATTTTGCCGAGTGTAAAGATCATTCTATTATTATAAATTTGAAAGTATATTGACATAGACAAATAGTTGTAGTCATGTTTGTTACCCTTTTATACTCAAACGGCTTAACTGAGTTTCAATAAAATGTGGTGTCAAAGTGGTGACCATTCTAGACTAATAAAATAAAGATATTATTGTATTATTCCAGAATGTTCCTATAATAAAACGTTATGTTATTATAATATATGACAATACTTTGTTTCGTCTTTAATATAGTCAAAAGAAAGCTTTTTATATGTCCCCTGTTGGTAATCATAACCTTCTTTCCAGCGTCTGATTGTGGGGGCGGACACGACTTTCAAAGTGTTCCTCTCCTTCCACAGCTACGGTGAAGTGATAATCTTCCCCTGGGGCTACACAGGCGACCCCTGTCCGGACTATGTCGAACTTTTAGAAGGCGGGACCGCGATGGCCAAGGTTTTTATGACAATTGATATTTCCTTAATTAAGTCATTAAATTACAATTGTCCCTTATTTATAATCTGTCATGGATTCATAGATTAATAATCACAGAGGGACAATATAATCTGTATAATTATTTTTGAATAGAACTGTTTAACTATTAATGGTTGAATAATACGAATTATATGATAAATGATGTGGTCATTACTGCTGTTTAAATAAAAAGTACCGCACTTATAGTTAAAGTTACATAATTCGATTGTACAATTTCTACAGCTAAATATAAAATTTAACAGAAAAAATCTCGAAAGTTCACAGTTAACGTTTGTTTAACATTTAAGATTCATTTTATTTACAACGTACGACCACTTATGTAAGCTACGACCCGAATAGATGTAAAACTTTCTAATATGTAATTTTTTACAGGCAATCTTTGAAACCAGTGGTCACACATACAAAGTCGGCAGCACCAAGGATCTGATGTACTACGCAGCAGGGAACAGCATTGACTGGAGTTACGGTGTGGCCAATATACCGTATTCTTACATGGTAGAGCTTAGAGGAAAGCAGTACAGATTTCTACTGCCAAGAGAAGAAATTATACCGACAGCAAGAGAAGCTATGAGCGGCGTTTTGAGACTAATGGAGTTCGTCGATACGAGAACCAAGAGTGCGCAATCTTGCGCATCCACCAAATAACATTTCACCTGTTATATAAGGCCGCTAGAGGCAGCGTAGCCTAACTGCAATTTGATAACTAGAGTTATTTATATTTTTGTGACGGAAAATTTTAATATCATTTTTACACAAATAACAGTACAAATTCGTTTTCGCCTAAGTTAATTGCGCATTTTTATTTTCCCCCTTATTAAAAATCATGCTTCTTATTATTAGGCCACTATTTCTTCAGCCTCATATATTTTAGCTTAATGATTACGTCATGTGATAATGCTTTATTAAAAAAAAAAACATGTACGCAACCCATCGCACTCCTTCCGTACTTTAAATAAAATTTTTGAACACATATTGTTGTGTAATTACAAAGGCAATGTATTTCGCTGCGGTCGCGAATAATATGGATGCAATCCAAAAATGTATTCCGCGCACCATCAAATGTGCACCAATATTTTAGTTTATTGTTTCACATCAGTAGTTGCCAAAAGTATCAATATTATATTTGGCTAGCATTGAAACGCGTGTTAAAAATTTCGATAACTTTATTTACAGACCTCGCATATACAATCAACAAACAATAAACAACGCATTTTGAAATTCACATTCAATTATCTAACACGTATTGACAATTATCACTAGTCGAATTCGATCAGGGCTCGTCAAGATTTGTTCGTCTCTTCTGATGTCATACTTCTTATTTCATAAGGATGTCAAGTTTGACAGTTGAGTGCCTTATATTTATTTTTTTCGGTAATTTTTCAAATATCAAATATTGTTTAGGGGTAAACGGCCGCCAATTTAGTAACTAACAACTATCAAAAACTAACGTAACATATAGAGATATTGTAATTTATGAACAATTAAATAAAGACGAAAGTTTTTATCTCAATATTGCAACGAAAATAATTTAAATATGTCCATATATGTTGAATTCAAACAATTAAGACTTTTTTGCTTACCTACTCCATCCCTAATGTCAATTGTCAAACTTATCATCCTAAACACAAGGTACGAACATTTTATTTAATACGGACGCCAAACATCGACCGGTCGTCTTTCAGAAGAAATAAGCGCCTTACTTCTAGTCCTGACGCCTTGGTCTGTCCATTCTGGCGTGAGAGGTCTTTTCTTTGAGCTTGTAGACCCTGTTTCTTCTCTATCTGGACTCGAATTGGAGTCGTCGTGGGGTTGTGGCGGTCGTAGCCACCAATCGTATCCTCCATAGAGCTGAGAGTATAGCCAAGCCGGTGGGGTTGGGAGTAAGGGAGAATTTAGGAACAATTGCGCAGCAAGAGCGCTGTGAAAAAGACTCGACGGTGGTGGGAGCGGTTGTAAAGGTTTTCGAGTCCTTGTAACTGATGTGAATGCTCCAGGACGGTCATCCGGTGGGGGACTGGTCGAGGCCGTTACAGATATGTCGTCGTCATCTTGAGGTGAGCTCGGTCGGGAATTTGTGGGGCTCGTTGTACTGTGGGCGTGCATTGTCGTTGGGTTCTCTGAAGTAATGTCTGTAAAAATAATAAACAAATATAAATCATGATATGATATGTTTTACAGAGATTACTTACTGTGTTTACATGGCGTTCAAACCCAGAAACTCGCTAGATTCACATTGTAAAAAGTAGCACTTTTTTCCTAACGTAAGGACGGAAAATTGTTAAATAATTGTTAAGCCTAAGAAAACAAGTTCTAGACAGGACGAATATTGATAAATAAAGTACATACCGTTTTCATGTGGTGGCGGAGGAACGTGTGGTTGAGAGTGTGCTGGTGGTAGAACGTGTGGTGTAAAGTGTGGATGCGACGGTAGCATTGGTGGTGGATAGTGCCTAGCCAGCGCCCCCCACTCGTTGCCTGGCAGACCGGCTAGTTGATGCGCTATGCCTGCAACAAATAGACACGTAATAATTCCCCATAATTTTCTTGTACATGAAAAATAGAATTCAAAAAAAGATTCAGTATTCTAAAATTGAAATATCGTGACTACAAGCGTCACAATAACTCCATCAACAAAACAATAAGTCTGAGAGTTATCTGACGCTCCACTTACGCTAACGGGCGCTTAACGCACTCATCAGAATATTTAAATAATGAGAAAGACGATTTTCGCCTCCCCCGCAAAGCTTGTTTCAATTCTCGTCTTATCTTTCACGCGGCACTCCTCAATTGTTGCCTATTCTTATACATCTACTGATTCTCACGTTTTGAACTCGTTTGAATGTTGTCTAATCGATGGCATTCTTTGACAGTTTTATTGAATCTGTATATTAATTTCTCAGATGTACAATAAAATTTGAGAGATATCTTTCGGATTAAAATATATTTATTGATACAGAAAAATATTTAATATACAATTTAAAAAGTACGTTGGGCCGAAGGTCAGATAGATAAAGAATTTTTGAAACTATTTTATGAATTTTTGGTTTATTAAATGTAAGAATGTAAAATAAGTAATGTAAGAATTAACTAATAATGGCAATGTAAAACATGAAATCAATTATATCAAACTTTTAATCTTACGTGTAAAGCATTCGTTCGTCTGTCTACTGAAAAATACAAAAGATGTAACAATAAAAAAGCCGTCACCCCATAGCGATATTCTTTCGCGATATCATAAACGCATTTGTGAAATAGGAAATGTGTTTCGGTGTCATAATTTCCAGTTGACATTTTTAAGCGCATAAATTAACAAAGTTCGCCGGCGCGACCCCGTATATTCGGCTTAACCCTTTAGCACCCACCTTGGGTAATTCCCACCCTGAGCCAACCTAACCCTTTCAGCAATAGAATAAATTACAGGCCGTTTTATGTCGCTGATACCTCCTACGAAAATGTAAAGTACATTACGTTGAATCCGACCGCTTAGCGTTTATTGTAGTGCTTCACGAGTGCAATTAGACAAGATCTTTATTGATCGACTTGATGTGTTTTTAATTTAATAGTTAAAAGTATCAACGGAAATCACATTTACACTATTAGATAGAAACAAACTCTTTGTCTAGAAAGTGACCTGTTACGGAGTCGAGTTTAAATGGAAAATAGTATAAACAATCTACGCCCACTTTATAATTTTAATGCATCTGTACACAACGGGCAGTAGTAACACCTATAAACATAACATATATAAAAATAAGAGTGTTTTTAAACATATAATTTAACTCTAAACAATAAAATAGATTGAAGTATTTATAAAATAAAATATAGTCATACTTTATGATACGAATAAGGAAATCATTTCTATATTGTGTGTAGTCGTGTATACTGTATCGTGATGGTATTGTTTCATTTCGTATTCCATGTTCAGCGAGCAGAAGAAGGGGTAGCTAGACGATTTGCATTCGTTAAAAATGTTCGAATTCTTTGTGTTGTTTGTGTGCACAGTGTGTAATCGTTGTATAGTGCGACTAAACAGTTTCAGTCTATTTGCAATAACTTTTTTATCACATAGTTTCTATTACAGTTCACGATAGATCAATCGGTTAAAACAACCGCACGGAACGCTGTGAATGCTGGTTCAAGTTCAGTCCGTGTCGTGATTTTTTTAAATCTTAAATCGATTGTTTTTTTTTAAAAAATAAAAATACAATACTACTACTGTAATAGTGAAATGCCATTTCCCCCCCGAGGAGAGTGCAGCGAACTTATTTTTTGTGCGCGTTTCACCGATCGGATTTTTTTTACTGGCAAGTAGTTAAAGATTTTCTGGGATTTAGGAACTAACACTTAACACAACTTGTTAGGAAAAATATTTAGCGTTTTTGGTTATAAAAACGTCACTACCTATCTATATCCAAATCGTATTACAGAATTCTAAATTTATAGTAAAATTCGCAAGTCAATACGATCATAAGTTAGTAATAATAGTATCGAAGCATTGACTCGCAGTATTCTGGATCGGCCGCCTTAAGACGCGGCAGTCCGCTACATTTCCTTCAGCGAAGGGATTTTTTCTTTACAGTTTGAAAAATCGGTGGACGCCGCGAGAGGGTTGAGCCCAAACATTTTAATACCATTTGCTAGATTGCGTCTTGCATTCTTCCTGCCTTTCGTGTAGCGTTAATCCGCGAATCGGCTAGGATTACGGGGATAAAAGTATTTGAGTTTTTAGTGTGATTCCGATGTCCTGGGATTAGGGAGGAATTTTTAACGACTGTCTGAGACCTTTTTGTGATTAAGGGAAAGGGTTGATGAGAGCACTTTGCTATAATTATTTTACATCTCTTTGATTCTAAGTAGAATTAGAATCCTCTTGTTAAACATTGAGAAAACCCTTTGTTTAGTTTACGAATAGTTACAAATTATCTATATACAAAAACAGTCTATAGTTGACGCGAGTAGTACATGTTTAAATACAACACTTTTAACTGTGTAAAACTCTAAATATATTAGGTAATATTTTTAATTTATTTTAACTACGGTCCAAACGTCTTAGATGCTTGGCAAAAGCCGTGGTCGGGGGGGGGAAAGTTAATATTATATAAAGTATTTCGCGTTTTAAACCATTGAAAAAGATTTATGAAAATAGTAAAATAGTGTTTAGCTACACACTATACGTCGATATTAAAGTATGTTGAAAACAAAACTAATTATTCACATATCCGAAAGACGCCAGTGACTGGAATTAATTTTCACAATTTCGCTTTAAATTATGTCACGCGTGTAATTTCGCAATTTGTTGATATACGAGTATTTCGGTGAAATGTTGATAACTACTTTTGTCAACCTATATATGGGTATATGCCATACACTCGACATTTTGGTACCATTTTGGTAAGTACAATCCGACTGTCCCATAGTGTTACACGTTTCCGCTTAAAATGATGGTTAAAATTACTTAAGCGGTGACTTTCAAAACGTCAAAAGTTTTGACATTTATATTATGTACTTTTATGTTTGTTCACATTTATCTTCGCTCTAAAAATGAAATTAAATATACTTATGTACTATTTAAGAGATGTTACGCGAGTATTTAAATAAGTTAAAAATCATTTTCAAATGAGTTACACTAATATATCGCGTTTTCAACCGTTAAAGTGTTTTATTAAACTACTATTACTATTTATGTGTTTGATATAAAAATATGAATAATGAAATCAAAAATATAGACTTAACAATAAGATTTACTTATAAGAACCTGACTACTTCATTACTTGTTGGTATTCTAACAATTGGGCTTACTCCAATACCTACTAATTACTGCTTTTTATTAATACTTATATTATAAAGCTGAAGAGTATTCATTTCCAATCTCAGGCGCTACCCGAACTAAATAATTATTTTTGTGTTGGTTGGCCGATTCTTAGAGGAAAGCTATAAAAGCTGCGACAAATTAGAGCGAAGATGCAGTCGTGTAAATGTGGAAAAAATTGGGAAAATTGTTCATCTTTGATGGGGATATAAAAATGTATAAAATAATGATACTTCATTTAATAATAAAAACGAATGTCCGCGATAGTATATATACAAAACTTTAAAGATACTCACAAGCACCGTATTTGCAAAATGGTCCAAATCTTTGCGGCAAAGGTTTGCCAGGTCAGCTAGTCTAGACTAAAAAAAATATCAAACATGTTAAGAATGACAATATTTCAAGAACTACTGACTACATTTATACAAATGTTTCCTTATTTGTATCCATAACTTAGACATACAGCTGTTAGCAAGAGTGATGTGTATCGTACATCATAATGTTAATAAGAGGGTTCGCGAACTAACGACGGCGCTTTGTCAACCAGACTCAACCCTTGGAGCTCGCGCCATCTTGCCCGAGTTTCAATCTGCTTAACACTTAATGAATTTGCCTCTATTGATTTTGTTTAACCCCTTTTTGTTTAGATTAATTAACCTTTCGCTAAACAAATAGCTGTGACATAACCTAATGAAGAGCGAAATGGGCTTAGTCAACTGTCGTACCTACGGAAAGTAAGTTTCTAATAACATTTTCCTCATGCGCCGATAATATTAAATATCTCTTGTATCTAAGACCTTATATTATATATTTTTACCTTTTCTTGTTTCACTGATGTAAAACATTAACAAAAAATATACCTACATTACTAATTGATGTAACTTGGTTTCGATTTATTATTTTATTATTGTGTTTTGTTTTCTTTTGCTTTAATTTACAAACAGGTGTAACATATAACTATACAACAGTAGATTATGTAAACATACTTTTAAGCTTATTTAAGCTTAATTTTATGTTTTCTACCCTACTACGAAAATGGTATCAAATATCTGTAGTTACTTATAATAATAAGTGACTAAATAATTAATTAATTTTATTAAAAGTTTATATTATTAAATATTAAATCGATTGACGAAACGAGAAGATATTCCAAAATCTGTTTAACGTACATTTTATATTCAATAGGCGAAATTAAGCCGTCGATACATTAACATATATATATGAAAATGAGTACATATTGTGAGTCTCATTGAGAGTTAATCGCGTTCGCGTCATCATCATACGAATTCATTTGAGAGCGTTTAAAGGCTCTATAAAAGCGCGAATCACGCCATACAAAAGGCTGTATGAGGTGGGTGGAACATTTAAAATTTACAAATGCGTAATTATGCACCCGCATTGTCGCGCGGCGGGAAGGGTTATGTCGCCCCCTGCCTTTTCTTTCCCCCCCTACCGCCCCCCAGAATCCGGAGCTTCCGGGCCTAATGCTATATTTAATTTTCTCTAAGGCTCCCTCATTAATAATGCGAAGCTGCGACTTTAAGTGGCGCTCACACGACGCTGCAAAACGTGGATGTTCGAATGTTTAACGTAACCATATATTAAGTAACAATATTAATAACAAAAATATATTTTTTAATTGAAAATAAAGGTAAAGTGAAAGATGAAAAAATACAGAGATTTTATCCAACAAAGTAGATTATTAATTACGTCTTGTGTAGCTAAAGCTTAAAATAATTTAATTAAAAAAAAAAAACAGTTGTGGTAGGTAAAAGTTTTTTTATAAGAAGTTGAATAATTTTTATTTCTCTAAAATTATTACAAGAAAATGGTAAAAAAAAGAATACAAATTTAATAAATATGTGAGATTACACAATTTATTGATTTATTGTATTGTAATTTGTGTTTCCATTTAATTTTGGAATATATTAAAGTAGAAAAACGTTTTTTACGTATTGTCTGTTGTTTACATAAGTAGTACAAATTGTAATAAGACATTTCAAGGGGTGTAAAATGCGAAAATATACCTTATTTGTAATGACTTATTTTAGTTCCACCATGGCCACATCTTATCGTCTAAACGTTTGTTTGCAAAAAAAAGCACCTCCACATTTTCTCATTTCATTAGTGAATGTAACGCGAACACCGCGTGAACGTGAGTGTGGATAATTTATCATGATTTTGCAAGGGTTATTGGAGGCAAGAGGGCAGCGAACATCCTTCCACGTGGATCGGAGAATATTGCCCGACCACATGAAGGGGCAAAATGTTATGTTATAAAAAAAATATAACTTCTAGCGACGATTTTCCTTTCATGAGTGACACTTTGCAAAGGGCAGAGGGTAAACACGTTTTTATATCCATTTAATTAATTGATGCCATAACGAAATCATTGGTTTTCCCGAGAGTCAAAGCCAGTAGCTCCGACGTTTGTCTCAAGCTAACTGTTTAACGATTGCGCCACAAAAGGGGGGGGGCACTAGGCAATAATCTATCGAAGTACTTACTTCCTATTTATAGCTATTAAATTAATAGATAATTAAATACTGTCTATAGTTTACGCGGGTAGTACACATTTAAATAAAACACTTCATGGTTTAAAACGCGATATATTAGTTAAACTTATTTGAAAATGATTTTTAACTTCGGCCCGACGTTTCGGCTGCTGCACGGTTTTAAACCGTTAAAGTGTTTTATTTAAATAATGGATAATTGTTTTTATATCTGTATTTATGTCCTCTTAAGAGAGAGACAAATTAGGAACTTAGACTCACCACGCTGTTTCAGTGTGGTTAGTTTTAACAACTAAAAAAAGATGCTCTCCAGCTTAACTATCTAGAAAGACAATTACTATGTGACCTGATATTCTCATAGTGAAATTACAAGTTCAAATCCGTTTGAAATTGCAAAAGGCGTCGTTTAATCGACAGAAGCGCCACAAGTTCTGTGTCTTGTCGTATATCTAGGAGCGAAAGGTGTGTAATTGAGTTACGGCCCTTTGACACCCGCCTTAACGAGGTTTGCCCGCCACTTGCCTAGTTGCTTACGATACACTAAATTCCCGATACAATGGAGGCGACAGCGCCCTCTGCTATCTATAATGCGAAAACAATATACAGTAAAGACTTGCATAATTAAGGTAGGCGTACTTTATTCTAGTCCAGGAATATAATTTAGTGCTTGGTGCTATTTTTGATACAAGCGCTAATAGAATTATGTAAACGGTCAACACAATTTATGCGGGTTATTAGATTAAGTAACAGATAAAATTTAACGAGGATAATATATTTATGCAACAATGAAATTTAAATAAAACACTTTTATGGTTAAAACATATTAGTTGAACTTATTTAGATATGATTTTTAAGTCGGGCCGAAGTTTTGAAAAATTTTGAAAAATGAAAAAGTTTACAATTTTAAACTTTGTTTAAGGCTAATAGAGTCAGTTGTGCTAGAGGTTGCTAAGCGCTGATTTTTAGTAAATCCGACAATGTCTATGCAATCTTCTTATTAAACGATTATAATGTTTAGAAGTTTTATGTATTAGGGGCGAATACAAGTCTGTGTCCGTATCACTAATCGGCTTCTTTTTCAGGTGCATAGTTGATCAGAGTTTTGTGCCCGAAACAATTATATTGTTTCCCCGGGATTCGAACCCACGACCTCTCGCTCTTAAAATAATCCTAAGCAACACGTTCAATTCAGCTACAGAGGCGATAAATAACCTACTAATATTACTTAATATTGTTATTTCGGAATTAAAGCCCAGAAATTTCCTCTTTTCCGCTTTAATTTTCTAATGAATTTCTAAAAAATAATAGAAAATCAACACCTTTTTCCACAATCCTATAACGAAGTGCGGTCCTATAGAACGAATAAAACGCTGCCAAGAATTTTACAATATCACTTTAGAATTGGTATCTAAGCACCAGATGCTAGGCAACGCCCTCTCTATTCACCTGAAGACACTAATAGGCCCCTAAGTGCAAATACCAAAATCAGATGAATAGATATTTATTATATAAACGTATATACAGCAACATGGATGTGGTAGAAGAGTTAGAATATACAATCTAAAAATCGGTTTGAAGCTTTAATTTCCCACTGCTGGTCTTGAATTCGGGTTGGCGCCTTTTTAAACTACCGCCACTAAGTTATAAAAACAAGTGAGATCGTCGGCCTAGCGTACTCTCCAAGGCACGGGGGGAGGGGGGAGGTAGACATTTTCGATTTCTAAACTTCAAGCTGGTATATAGAAATGTTCTTATAAATGTTGATCTAGTAGGAACAATGTATGGCTATCAACGGGACGTGGATTCGTTTGTTCTTCTATAACACTTCAGACTTCATCTGTATGCTTGATATTAAATGGCTAGTAAGAATATCGAAGTTCTGTCCGGTGACGAACAGCACGACAGGTGAAAAAACACTGTAGTTATTCATAGTACATAATTTCAGTCTGTAGATTTCTGAATATTCAAAAGTAAGACAACGGCGCATCAGGTCAAGATAATATATGGCTGGGGTATTTACCTTCTATCAAATAAACCCAATGTTTAGCTGACTTCCTCCATCATATAGAAAGGATTCAAACTTCACAGATCAAAGAAACAGCAGTCTAGTGTACTAACTAACTAAGAAGGCAGTCTGATCTGGTGTTTATAGTTTATATCTATGTATTTTAATGAGTTCTCAATAGCTATTTTGTATTTCCTTCTGTAATACTATCTGTGAGACTCAAAAGAGGGCAATGAATCGTTAATATAATTAATTAATTGTAACTCAAAACTTCTCCATCGAATTAAAATCCCCAAATTGTGAAATGGGCATGGCGTGAATTTAATTTATAATAAGTTCGTATATTGCGCTGATAACAATATTCAAATTATTTTTTGAAAGTTTTTATCACTATAAGCTGTAGAAGCCCACAGATATGATTTAATTTGTTTTTTTTTAGTAACTGTGACATCCCCTTTTCCCTATGTATGACACATTTTTAGTCTGTTTTCCTCATTGATTTTATTTACAGACAATTTCATGAGATGTAGATTCTGTCCCATGTACATACGAAAACTGTCTTTTCCCAACAAATTCCCAAGACCTTTTGCCTTTTACAAAATTCTATGCGATACATTTAACCGTTGGATCTAGATTCTAGAAGGTAGTATGAAATGAAAGGAAAAGTTTGTTTGATTCACAAATTATATTAAGTTAGGTATATCCTTTTGTTCGAACTACCTTGCAAACAAAATAATTAAACCTTAGTTAGGAATATAGTATCCTCTGTAGCCAAATGGTTAAACGTATTGCCTAGCGTTGCTTTAGCGGTAGAGGTCCTGGGTTTGAATTCCAGGGAAACAAAAAAAAAAGTATTTCGTCGGGCAGGGTGCAGAAGTCTTATCAACTACTTGCCCATTAAAAAACATCAATGAAAGGACACAGAAATATGTTCGCCCCATACCCCACGATATAATATAGATTTAAATCGACAAATCATAATTATATTTAAATTTTTAATAAAACACGGTTTAAAACGTGAAATATTCTACTTTCAGTTATTATGTTATTATCAACCGTCTTTATCTGATATATTTCGCGTTTTAAATCGTCAAATTATTTATTCAAATGGCTACTCCCGTAACAGCACGTTTAATTTCCCTTGACGTATCTTTTACGTGCACATACTTATAGATATAGATTTTCGCTGAAATTCTCCAGGAGGCGTTGGACATTTGACGAAGGTCCGGTGACAATTTAATATATTTAATACTACGTTTATTACGTCTGAGGAACAAACACGTGTGATCTTGACATCTTTATTAATAGAGTTTATACAAGTAGGTATAATTCATTGTATATTTAGAAGTATTACTCGACTTTCATCCTTAATGTTATACCATAAGTAAATAAAGCGATCATCGTCTGTTTTAGAATAGGTATTTTAAACTGAGATATTTCAGTCTACTTTACAAATGAACTATTAAGTACGATTATTTTAAATATTGTCTATGGTTTACGCGAGTAGTACACATTTAAATATTACACTTTAACGGTTTAAAACGCGATATATTAGTTAAACTTATTTTTAACTTCGGCCCGAAGTTTCGGGTGCTTTGCAGCAGCCGTGGTCACGGTCTCCGCGTGATTTAAAGTGTTTTATTTAAATACGATTATTTTGCTTTTTTATATTTTTTGCAATTACTAAAAGTTCAGCTGGTGTAAGGTTTTAAACAACTTCTGATTTTTTATTTCCTGTATCACATGCTTACATCCCATCTATATAAAGTCTAAAAATAGCTATACTTAGCGTAGTTCACACAACTTACCAGATAACTTAAAAGGCAAAGAGCCCATGAGTGGATCCGGCGCGAATCTTGGTCCAAAGTGGAACGGGTGGAAACCGTGGTGTCTCGTTTTAGATCTGGGTTCGCGTGGTCCATCCACTGTCACTTTTATAGCCTTCTGGTAAGTTGCCACTTGGGGTGGAGACGTCGCCAGCATAATGGTTAGCGTGAACGATTTTCCTGTAAAGAAATATAACGTTTGAAAACTTTAATATTTTTCACATGTTATTGCACATGATGGCGCTATATAATTTAAAAATCGAAAATAAATTCCTGCCGCAGTAGACAATTATTTCAATTTATTTTCGGTTTTTGAACAAATATAATGTTTATTATGTTGAACACGTTTATATTCTATCACTGGTTCACAAATTAAAAATCGATTCGAAAATCGAATCGATCGAATCGACGAATTGAAAAAATATACGACATGGTCGGGACTCGAACCGGTGCCTACAGCTCTAACCAATTCAGCCACCAATTTATTGATACATGCACCTCTCGCGCAATTATTTAAAAAATACAAGTAATTTTAGCATAATGTTACTTTTGAATAGTTATTTCGATGAAATATATTCATGTATAGTTTAATTCTGTATAATGGTATTTGTGTATTTCCAATAAAACAAGGCAACTAGTAATCTTTATATACAATTTGTCTTTGGACTGGATGTGTTCCTAGTTATGGTTTATCAATATTTTAATTGTTCACTTAGCTAAGTATATCCAAAAAAACTTATATGTAATGTATGTGAAAAGTTAATATCTTCTTTTTGGTGTAATAGTATTTTACAATTCAAAGTGGTAATGAAGAAAAACAATTCCAAACTACGTACAATTCTAATTATTTAAAAAGGGAACGCCTCTACAAAAATAGCTTTAACTCCTTCCCCGAATTTGTTGAATATTTGAGTCGTAGAGGCACGTCTTACAACCATCTAGCAAGCGAGAGAATGCATTGGGGACAGAAAAAATGCGAAACAGCTTGCGTTGATTTGTGGCGCCGTCGCCAAAATAGCATACCTGCACGTTGACAACATTCCTCTTTCTACCCTGTCTTATATATGTATATAATATATTCTACAGCAAAGGCTCTCTTATTCTAGTAAACGTAACTCCACCGTAGGTTGAAATAATGAATTAAATATATAAGCTAAAAACCTCGGTTAAAAAAATGCTATTGTAGCACTTTACAAAATTTAAAATAAAAGAAAGCAATTTTTAGGAAATAATCTAATATGTATACATTAGAAGCAGATGTATGTTTTCATTGCGTATATTGAATATGACATTAATGCACATGCGATCTTACATAGGTACATTTTAAATTTTATTTATGAAACGGGCACGAGTGGAAACCTACGAAAATTGATTCGGATCGGATTTAGGATTTTCCACTGTCCATAACTAGAATAAATCGACAACGCACCTTATTAGATTCTATATTTCTAGGGTATTTGTAACATCCATTATTAGCTTGGTTACCCTCCTCTCTCAAAAAAAATGACTCGAATCGTGTCGCCGCTTGTGAGGACAAGCATATATATAACACGACATAACTCTAGAATATAGATGTTAATTTAAGTATATAGCTGTCCCACTAGCGACATAACGTTTCCGTTACGCGTACGCGCAGAATGTTGTAATCGTAATATTTAAGTAATCGCCGGATCTAGTGACGCAGCGGAATGCCATAGTAACATATCCACCGCAGAGCGGCCGCAAACACGACGGCAAGCGTTTGAACAATCGCTGCTATATCGACACATACCAAACGGTAATTCTGGCGAAATTCATGGTTACACGCTAGGAGTCATTAGCGGTAGAAACGTACAACCGATGACAATTCACTGCTGAAATTTCATGTAAGGGCTTATCGGCTAGCCAAACATTGCTATAGCTTTACCTGTATAGCGCTAGTTCGTCGTTTCGTTTTAAGCTATTAAGGTCCACTGCTGGGCACTTTCATAGGAAAGAGAGCTTCAAACTCAAGACGAACCATGTTCTTCTAGTAAGGCGAAGCTAAAGACTACTGTCACTACTAATACCCTAGGTAGACTACAAGCTCTGACCTAGTATGATGAATTTTGTTAAAAAAAATTCTACATTTATACCTTCGATTTTGTCCGCGGACTCTGATCATGTCAGAATGTTAAACGTTAATGAATGTTGTTGAATGAAAGTGTTACAGTATTTCTTAATTCAACTTAGTTTTAAACAGAAAATCTTTTTACTGAAGACATTACAATTTTTGACGTGTTAATACTAAAATAAAGTATATTATTCGTATGTTCAAAAAAATTAATAAAAAAAAACCTATCATTTTACACCGAAACAGACTAGCCGCTAGTGCACACGTGGCTACCAATTGCGTATAATCTCAGTTACAATGTTAAGATAATACAATAATCCAATTAGAATACGTATGGCCATAAAATATTCTAATTTTTATATCCAATATCACATCAAAGTAATTATGTTTTAGGAACACCAAAAACATTTTAGTCGTGTTTCGAAAAGAAAATTATTATAATTATATAACACGAAAATTATATCCTTAAATTTTGTAAAACTTGTAGAAGAAAATATTTCACCACAATATACACCATATTGTGGTGAAATATTTTCTTCTACAAGTTCACATAACGCAAACAATATAAACAAGCAGAACTGATATCTTAATGTGTTCATACGCCAAAAGAAGTACAAAAAGTGAATCTAACGCAGCCAAATAATTTCGCATTAGAATTTCTGAATAAAATGCGCGGGGCTCAGGAAACAAAGATAGACCAACATTTAGGGCTGGCTGTAGGCCAAAAGCCGCTCTGGCCATGAAAACGATATAAACAGAACCCCTAAGGGGGGTGGTTGGGTCGCCCACTCCGCTAAGACCCGAAATGAGCGGCCACCCGCTTATTTTCATAAAACACTCATAAACTGTGACTTGAGACGAAGAATATTATTTTTCAACACCCCACGTACGAGAGTCGAGATGGCGACCCAAGACAATTTCTTCGTGTAAACGTCTAAGACAGTTTAGCACATTTATTAATTTAATTGATACATGCAAAAATCATAAGTTATGGTTTTGAAGCCTAAATATATGTCTCTTAAATAAAGATTACCTTCACTGGCTAGATAAAAATGTATAATAATACAACAACACCTAGTATGGATCGTTATGGACATAGTTCTGTTATAATCTCTATAGAAATATTTTAAGATGCTACTAACCTAACGCAAATAGTTGCAGCCAAGATGTAAACGCTTGCGTATAAATCTCCAGAAATAAATATTTTATATTACTATTTGGTCCATGAATAAAATCAACAAGTAAACAAAAGACAAAAGTTACTATCTACAACCCTTTTTTTTGATAGGACAAGGGAACAAGATGTGCTGTCGATCTATTGTGGCTTTGGATGTTCGAAACTTAGATAACCTTATAACGGAGACTTTATATTATAATTTACACGGTAGTGTACATTAGAAGGTTGTTAGTAAATATTTCTTGAGAATGAAAGCTTTAGAAAATATGCACCGTTGAAAAATTGTTTTATTTCTATGAAATCAAAGCACCCGTCCCCCAAGCAAATCTGTATCAAAGGGCGCGCTCATAGAAAAATAAAGGCATTCGGCGCTTACTCCATAAATCATTTAAGTTATTCATAAAAAGACGTTTCGTCTGCTCCCCAAACGCGAACATATTGCAACTGTGCACGTGCGACACACTTCATAAAGTGCGGATATTGATCCGCGAGGGGGCGCTCTTCATAAAAATATGTTCGCGCCGAACACCGATCGCGATCGGACGCCTCAGGATTTCACTTCGCGAGCTATTTAATGTTTAGACGTTGAATAAATTTCTCAAAATTCGCAATTCGATTAAGATGAAACTATATCTAATATCTTCTTTGCATTCTTTATTGTTAATCGTTAGTATCAATTTTATGTTTGTGTATTCGTGTTTTAGCATCTCCGAGACATGTTAAGCGTTCCTCGGAGCGGAGAACTTCGCTTCGTCTCGACTCGAAAACATAACTATAACATATATTATATCAATGTAAGATTTTTGTAAGCATTTGCTTGTAGTTTACGCGTTTTTGTTTCTTGTACTTGAACTTATTGTACCTATAGTCGATAGTTGAATCGATAGAAAAAACTCGTTTAACGGTTTAAACCTCGTAACATATCAGTTAACTTATTTGTGAGTCAATTTAACTACTCGACATTACAAATTCTTTGCAGCAAATTTAGTGACGCGTTATCGTGATTTCGCGTTTGGAACCGTTAAATATGTTTTATTTAAAATTGATTTAATTTTATTTACTATAGGTATACAAAACATTGTTCAGTGTATTTATATGTAAACGTGTATAAAGAATACCACTTTACGATCTTAGAAACATATTTTAATCTGTTGAACAAAAAGTCTTAAGTTAAAAGCGCCTCCTAGCGGCATTATTGATTACGGATCCGAGAGTCGAATCCGATTTCAATGAAATTATACGAGACGATTCCTCTCGTACGCTAGATTAAAAATCAGCTTTATGACGTCATAAAGTAAGCGGGGGCGTTAAGATAAGAGTTCTTCGTCCTAAATAAAAAATGAGCCACAATCGTAATAGCAGCACGTTTCTTTGATCTCGGTTTCATGGCTTACGGAGGATTTTCAGCTTAGAACGGCAATTTGGGTATAAAATACCTAATACGGGCCAATACGCATTAGGGGACATTAGCAAATTGACTGCGTACGCCCTTAAATTGAAATCCTTGTACTTACGTGTTTTTATTTATTTGTAAACACGAATAGGTCAATAGTGATGTATTTTTATAATAGATAACGACAGACAAGCACGGAGTTTACTTGTTGGTAGATAAAAATTAATCCAGCCATATAACATCTGAAGATCGATTCGAAAAACCACAGACTGAAGCCGTAATGCGATTAATTTTCACAGCTTTACCTACCTACCAAATGTTGGGCGTGGTTGGGATCGTATCCACGACTCGTTGATTATTAGGCCTACATTACTACCGTTATACCAACGTTATTTTTCCGTTAAATTGCGACATGTTTAAGTAAGTGAAAGTATTAAAGCAAACATTTAATTTATGTGTAAAACCTCGTTTCCCCCCTGTGGGGCATAAAAACATACATGTTCATAAATAAATGCTTC